TTTTCCGGTTGTGCTGACCCCTGCGAATTCCCCAAATGTGGGAATCTCGACTGCATAATTTGTGGTAGTGGGGGACTGCGTTCGCGCTCTCCCCTGTTATTGTGTCAAAGGAAAAGAAAGGAGTCCTGGGCTGTGCGCGCAGTCTGTCAACGTCCAAGTCAGCGTATGGTTTGCGGCAGTGTAAAGACTCTGACCTCTGGGATTATGCGTTGTAGGCACCCTCAGCCAGAGTGCTGTGTCTGGGACCGACCACCCTGTCTCTGACACTTTCAACTCATACTTACCTGGCAGGGGAGATACCATGATCAAGAAGGTGGTTCACCCAGGGCGAGGCTTAGCCATTGCACTCCGGTTGTGCTGACCCCTGCGAATTCCCCAAATGTGGGAATCTCGACTGCATAATTTGTGGTAGTGGGGGACTGCGTTCGCGCTCTCCCCTGTTATTGTGTCAAAGGAAAAGAAAGGAGTCCTGGGCTGCGCGCGCAGTCTGTCAACGTCCAAGTCAGCGTATGCTTGCGGCAGTGTAAATGTTCACGGGCCCCCGGTTCCTTTGGCAGTTTGCCCAGAGAGTGGCAGCGTGTTGAGTAATGCCCAGGGTCCCGATGGCCGCAAGAAGGGGGTGTGTCCTTTTAGGTGGGACAAAATGAATTGCGTGTTGGCCTCTCTGAGATTGTTCTTTCTTTGTGCAAGAAATGTCCTCCAGGCATGCTTCCATTGCTAGCATGCTTAGGTTTTAGGCCTTTACGCGGATGTGTTTGCTTTTTCAGAGACAGAAAGACACTGCGAATTCCCCAAATGTGGGCATCTCGACTGCATAATTTGTGGTAGTGGGGGACTGCGTTCGCGCTCTCCCCTGTTATTATGTCAAAGGAAAAGAAAGGACAAATGAATTGCGTGTTGGCCTCTCTGAGATTGTTCTTTCTTTGTGGAAGAAATGTCCCCCAGGCATGCTTCCATTGCTAGCATGCTTGGGTTTTAGGCTTTTCCGCGGACGTGTTTGCTTTTTCAGAGACAGAAAGACTCTGACCTCTGGGATTATGCGTTGTAGGCACCCTCAGCCAGAGTGCTGTGTCTGGGACCGACCACCCTGTCTCTGACACTTTCAACTCATACTTACCTGGCAGGGGAGATACCATGATCAAGAAGGTGGTTCACCCAGGGCGAGGCTTAGCCATTGTACTCCGGTTGTGCTGACCCCTGCGAATTCCCCAAATGTGGGAATCTCGACTGCATAATTTGTGGTAGTGGGGGACTGCGTTCGCGCTCTCCCCTGTTATTGTGTCAAAGGAAAATAAAGGAGTCCTGGGCTGCGCGCGCAGTCTGTCAACGTCCAAGTCAGCGTATGCTTGCGGCAGTGTAAATGTTCACGGGCCCCCGGTTCCTTTGGCAGTTTGCCCAGAGAGTGGCAGCGTGTTGAGTAATGCCCAGGGTCCCGATGGCCGCAAGAAGGGGGTGTGTCCTTTTAGGTGGGACAAAATGAATTGCGTGTTGGCCTCTCTGAGATTGTTCTTTCTTTGTGCAAGAAATGTCCTCCAGGCATGCTTCCATTGCTAGCATGCTTAGGTTTTAGGCCTTTACGCGGATGTGTTTGCTTTTTCAGAGACAGAAAGACACTGCGAATTCCCCAAATGTGGGCATCTCGACTGCATAATTTGTGGTAGTGGGGGACTGCGTTCGCGCTCTCCCCTGTTATTATGTCAAAGGAAAAGAAAGGACAAATGAATTGCGTGTTGGCCTCTCTGAGATTGTTCTTTCTTTGTGGAAGAAATGTCCCCCAGGCATGCTTCCATTGCTAGCATGCTTGGGTTTTAGGCTTTTCCGCGGACGTGTTTGCTTTTTCAGAGACAGAAACACTCTGACCTCTGGGATTATGCGTTGTAGGCACCCTCAGCCAGAGTGCTGTGTCTGGGACCGACCACCCTGTCTCTGACACTTTCAACTCATACTTACCTGGCAGGGGAGATACCATGATCAAGAAGGTGGTTCACCCAGGGCGAGGCTTAGCCATTGCACTCCGGTTGTGCTGACCCCTGCGAATTCCCCAAATGTGGGAGTCTCGACTGCATAATTTGTGGTAGTGGGGGACTGCGTTCGCGCTCTCCCCTGTTATTGTGTCAAAGGAAAAGAAAGGAGTCCTGGGCTGCGCGCGCAGTCTGTCAACGTCCAAGTCAGCGTATGCTTGCGGCAGTGTAAATGTTCACGGGCCCCCGGTTCCTTTGGCAGTTTGCCCAGAGAGTGGCAGCGTGTTGAGTAATGCCCAGGGTCCCGATGGCCGCAAGAAGGGGGTGTGTCCTTTTAGGTGGGACAAAATGAATTGCGTGTTGGCCTCTCTGAGATTGTTCTTTCTTTGTGCAAGAAATGTCCTCCAGGCATGCTTCCATTGCTAGCATGCTTAGGTTTTAGGCCTTTACGCGGATGTGTTTGCTTTTTCAGAGACAGAAAGACACTGCGAATTCCCCAAATGTGGGCATCTCGACTGCATAATTTGTGGTAGTGGGGGACTGCGTTCGCGCTCTCCCCTGTTATTATGTCAAAGGAAAAGAAAGGACAAATGAATTGCGTGTTGGCCTCTCTGAGATTGTTCTTTCTTTGTGGAAGAAATGTCCCCCAGGCATGCTTCCATTGCTAGCATGCTTGGGTTTTAGGCTTTTCCGCGGACGTGTTTGCTTTTTCAGAGACAGAAAGACTCTGACCTCTGGGATTATGCGTTGTAGGCACCCTCAGCCAGAGTGCTGTGTCTGGGACCGACCACCCTGTCTCTGACACTTTCAACTCATACTTACCTGGCAGGGGAGATACCATGATCAAGAAGGTGGTTCACCCAGGGCGAGGCTTAGCCATTGCACTCCAGTTGTGCTGACCCCTGCGAATTCCCCAAATGTGGGAATCTCGACTGCATAATTTGTGGTAGTGGGGGACTGCGTTCGCGCTCTCCCCTGTTATTGTGTCAAAGGAAAAGAAAGGCGTCCTGGGCTGCGCGCGCAGTCTGTCAGCGTATGCTTGCGGCAGTGTAAATGTTCACGGGCCCCCGGTTCCTTTGGCAGTTTGCCCAGAGAGTGGCAGCGTGTTGAGTAATGCCCAGGGTCCCGATGGCCGCAAGAAGGGGGTGTGTCCTTTTAGGTGGGACAAAATGAATTGCGTGTTGGCCTCTCTGAGATTGTTCTTTCTTTGTGCAAGAAATGTCCTCCAGGCATGCTTCCATTGCTAGCATGCTTAGGTTTTAGGCCTTTACGCGGATGTGTTTGCTTTTTCAGAGACAGAAAGACACTGCGAATTCCCCAAATGTGGGCATCTCGACTGCATAATTTGTGGTAGTGGGGGACTGCGTTCGCGCTCTCCCCTGTTATTATGTCAAAGGAAAAGAAAGGACAAATGAATTGCGTGTTGGCCTCTCTGAGATTGTTCTTTCTTTGTGGAAGAAATGTCCCCCAGGCATGCTTCCATTGCTAGCATGCTTGGGTTTTAGGCTTTTCCGCGGACGTGTTTGCTTTTTCAGAGACAGAAACACTCTGACCTCTGGGATTATGCATTGTAGGCACCCTCAGCCAGAGTGCTGTGTCTGGGACCGACCACCCTGTCTCTGACACTTTCAACTCATACTTACCTGGCAGGGGAGATACCATGATCAAGAAGGTGGTTCACCCAGGGCGAGGCTTAGCCATTGCACTCCGGTTGTGTTGACCCCTGCGAATTCCCCAAATGTGGGAATCTCGACTGTATAATTTGTGGTAGTGGGGGACTGCGTTCGCGCTCTCCCCTGTTATTGTGTCAAAGGAAAAGAAAGGCGTCCTGGGCTGCGCGCGCAGTCTGTCAATGTCCAAGTGAGCGTATGCTTGCGGCAGTGTAAATGTTCACGAGCCCCCGGTTCCTTTGGCAGTTTGCCCAGAGAGTGGCAGCGTGTTGAGTAATGCCCAGGGTCCCGATGGCCGCAAGAAGGGGGTGTGTCCTTTTCCGGTTTTGCTGACCCCTGCGAATTCCCCAAATGTGGGAATCTCGACTGCATAATTTGTGGTAGTGGGGGACTGCGTTCGCGCTCTCCCCTGTTATTGTGTCAAAGGAAAAGAAAGGTGTCCTGGGCTGCGCGCGCAGTCTGTCAACGTCCAAGTGAGCGTATGCTTGCGGCAGTGTAAATGTTCACGGGCCCCCGGTTCCTTTGGCAGTTTGCCCAGAGAGTGGCAGCGTGTTGAGTAATGCCCAGGGTCCCGATGGCCGCAAGAAGGGGTGTGTCCTTTTAGGTGGGACAAAATGAATTGCGTGTTGGCCTCTCTGAGATTGTTCTTTCTTTGTGCAAGAAATGTCCTCCAGGCATGCTTCCATTGCTAGCATGCTTAGGTTTTAGGCCTTTACGCGGATGTGTTTGCTTTTTCAGAGACAGAAAGACACTGCGAATTCCCCAAATGTGGGAATCTCGACTGCATAATTTGTGGTAGTGGGGGACTGCGTTCGCGCTCTCCCCTGTTATTATGTCAAAGGAAAAGAAAGGACAAATGAATTGCGTGTTGGCCTCTCTGAGATTGTTCTTTCTTTGTGGAAGAAATGTCCCCCAGGCATGCTTCCATTGCTAGCATGCTTGGGTTTTAGGCTTTTCCGCGGACGTGTTTGCTTTTTCAGAGACAGAAACACTCTGACCTCTGGGATTATGCATTGTAGGCACCCTCAGCCAGAGTGCTGTGTCTGGGACCGACCACCCTGTCTCTGACACTTTCAACTCATACTTACCTGGCAGGGGAGATACCATGATCAAGAAGGTGGTTCACCCAGGGCGAGGCTTAGCCATTGCACTCCGGTTGTGTTGACCCCTGCGAATTCCCCAAATGTGGGAATCTCGACTGTATATTTGTGGTAGTGGGGGACTGCGTTCGCGCTCTCCCCTGTTATTGTGTCAAAGGAAAAGAAAGGCGTCCTGGGCTGCGCGCGCAGTCTGTCAATGTCCAAGTGAGTGTATGCTTGCGGCAGTGTAAATGTTCACGGGCCCCCGGTTCCTTTGGCAGTTTGCCCAGAGAGTGGCAGCGTGTTGAGTAATGCCCAGGGTCCCGATGGCCGCAAGAAGGGGTGTGTCCTTTTCCGGTTTTGCTGACCCCTGCGAATTCCCCAAATGTGGGAATCTCGACTGCATAATTTGTGGTAGTGGGGGACTGCGTTCGCGCTCTCCCCTGTTATTGTGTCAAAGGAAAAGAAAGGTGTCCTGGGCTGCGCGCGCAGTCTGTCAACGTCCAAGTGAGCGTATGCTTGCGGCAGTGTAAATGTTCACGGGCCCCCGGTTCCTTTGGCAGTTTGCCCAGAGAGTGGCAGCGTGTTGAGTAATGCCCAGGGTCCCGATGGCCGCAAGAAGGGGTGTGTCCTTTTAGGTGGGACAAAATGAATTGCGTGTTGGCCTCTCTGAGATTATTCTTTCTTTGTGCAAGAAATGTCCTCCAGGCATGCTTCCATTGCTAGCATGCTTAGGTTTTAGGCCTTTACGCGGATGTGTTTGCTTTTTCAGAGACAGAAAGACACTGCGAATTCCCCAAATGTGGGCATCTCGACTGCATAATTTGTGGTAGTGGGGGACTGCGTTCGCGCTCTCCCCTGTTATTATGTCAAAGGAAAAGAAAGGACAAATGAATTGCGTGTTGGCCTCTCTGAGATTGTTCTTTCTTTGTGGAAGAAATGTCCCCCAGGCATGCTTCCATTGCTAGCATGCTTGGGTTTTAGGCTTTTCCGCGGACGTGTTTGCTTTTTCAGAGACAGAAACACTCTGACCTCTGGGATTATGCATTGTAGGCACCCTCAGCCAGAGTGCTGTGTCTGGGACCGACCACCCTGTCTCTGACACTTTCAACTCATACTTACCTGGCAGGGAGATACCATGATCAAGAAGGTGGTTCACCCAGGGCGAGGCTTAGCCATTGCACTCCGGTTGTGCTGACCCCTGCGAATTCCCCAAATGTGGGAATCTCGACTGCATAATTTGTGGTAGTGGGGGACTGCGTTCGCGCTCTCCCCTGTTATTGTGTCAAAGGAAAAGAAAGGCGTCCTGGGCTGCGCGCGCAGTCTGTCAGCGTATGCTTGCGGCAGTGTAAATGTTCACGGGCCCCCGGTTCCTTTGGCAGTTTGCCCAGAGAGTGGCAGCGTGTTGAGTAATGCCCAGGGTCCCGATGGCCGCAAGAAGGGGGTGTGTCCTTTTAGGTGGGACAAAATGAATTGCGTGTTGGCCTCTCTGAGATTGTTCTTTCTTTGTGCAAGAAATGTCCTCCAGGCATGCTTCCATTGCTAGCATGCTTAGGTTTTAGGCCTTTACGCGGATGTGTTTGCTTTTTCAGAGACAGAAAGACACTGCGAATTCCCCAAATGTGGGCATCTCGACTGCATAATTTGTGGTAGTGGGGGACTGCGTTCGCGCTCTCCCCTGTTATTATGTCAAAGGAAAAGAAAGGACAAATGAATTGCGTGTTGGCCTCTCTGAGATTGTTCTTTCTTTGTGGAAGAAATGTCCCCCAGGCATGCTTCCATTGCTAGCATGCTTGGGTTTTAGGCTTTTCCGCGGACGTGTTTGCTTTTTCAGAGACAGAAACACTCTGACCTCTGGGATTATGCATTGTAGGCACCCTCAGCCAGAGTGCTGTGTCTGGGACCGACCACCCTGTCTCTGACACTTTCAACTCATACTTACCTGGCAGGGGAGATACCATGATCAAGAAGGTGGTTCACCCAGGGCGAGGCTTAGCCATTGCACTCCGGTTGTGCTGACCCCTGCGAATTCCCCAAATGTGGGAATCTCGACTGCATAATTTGTGGTAGTGGGGGACTGCGTTCGCGCTCTCCCCTGTTATTGTGTCAAAGGAAAAGAAAGGCGTCCTGGGCTGCGCGCGCACTCTGTCAACGTCCAAGTCAGCGTATGCTTGCGGCAGTGTAAATGTTCACGGGCCCCCGGTTCCTTTGGCAGTTTGCCCAGAGAGTGGCAGCGTGTTGAGTAATGCCAGGGTCCCAGGGTTAAAGGCCTCCAATTTTTCAAGTCCTTCCTGTCTCCCTTTTTGAAAAGAAGGGAGATGGAGCCTGTTCTTAACGAAGGTGGTAGTATGCCTCTAGAGAAACTCTCCTTGAACACTTGCAACAAAGGGGCTTTTAGCTGGTCCCAAAAGGTGTTGTAAAACTCTTTGGGTAAACCATCCAAACCAGGAGATTTTTTATTCTGCATGCTCTGCATAGCTTTTGTTAACTCATTAATTGTCAAGTCTCTCTCCAGAAGATCTCTTTCTGAGTTTTGAAAGAGGACAACCTTGTCGTACACCTGATTTTACTTTGAATGGAGCTGTGCATCCCCCATTTACCACAACGGTGCTATTAATGTCGGCATACAGCAGGTCTACCCAATCTCTAAAATTGTTGCCAAAATTAAGATGGGACAGAACAGCTTTAAAGTAGTGGTGGTTAATACTGTCAAAGGCCTTCTCCAAATCTAGTCCCAGGATACATAGAGGGAGGTCACGATCTTGGGCAAACAAAAAGAGTCTCTAACTAAAGCTAGGCTGTCGGCCATGGATCGGCCTGGAACCCCACACGTTTGGTCTATACCGACCAGTTGATGAACTACTGGTTGCAGTCGGAAAAAAAGGGCCTTTGACAATATTTTAATGTCGACTCCGAGCAAGGTTAAAGGCCTCCAATTTTTCAAGTCCTTCCTGTCTCCCTTTTTGAAAAGAAGGGAGATGGAGCCTGTTCTTAACGAAGGTGGTAGTATGCCTCTAGAGAAACTCTCCTTGAACACTTGCAACAAAGGGGCTTTTAGCTGGTCCCAAAAGGTGTTGTAAAACTCTTTGGGTAAACCATCCAAACCAGGAGATTTTTTATTCTGCATGCTCTGCATAGCTTTTGTTAACTCATTAATTGTCAAGTCTCTCTCCAGAAGATCTCTTTCTGAATTTTTTAGTTTCATGGTTAAATGAGACAAGAAAAAATCAATTGACTGTTCAGAAATGGCCTTCTCTTGATAAAGATCTCTGTAAAAGGACTTGACAACACCGAGTATGCCTTGAGGGTCACTCTCCTCCTTTCCCTCCCTGTCCAACACACCTTCAAAACAGTGCCTAGACTTGACCATTTTATTAAAAAAATAGCGAGTACACTTTTCATTCTCTTCTAGGTGTTGTACCCTGCTCCTTGTGAGCACCCCTTTACTCTTTTCATTGTACAACTTAATCATACATTTTTTAAGTTTTGCTATGTCCTCATTCACCTCAAAACCAGACAATGACAGAAGATAGTAGCGTTGCAACTTGGCTTGCAGCCTTTTTTGAATAGCTCGTTTCTTTGCCGCTGCTTTTTTACCTTCTCTCATGAAGAAAGCCTTGGTTTTTTGTTTGACATCCTCCCACCATTCTCCCAAGGAATCAAACAAAGGCTGCAAAGTGAACCATTGATGAAGCTTGTCCCTGTATCTTGTCACCACTTCTGGGTTGTCTAATAAACTAGTATTGAGTTTCCAGATACCTGGTCCGGACCTATACGAGCCCTGAATTTCTAAGGAACAGTTAAGTTTGTGGTGATCTGAGAAAGGAACTGGTTCAATTGTGCAGGTGAGTGGTGTGACACGCGATGTGGTAAACAAAAACTCTATACGAGAGAAGGTTCTTCCATTTGTCCATGTATAACCTGGTGTGGAGGGGTTTGTTCGTCTGTAGGCATCCACTAGTTTACCGTCCTTAATAATATTCAGGAGTGTGTGTGAACTAGAATCGAGTTTCACTGTGGAGGTAGACCTTTTATCTGCTATGTCCACGATGCAGTTAAAGTCACCCCCAATTATAACTTCCCTCCCACAGTGTGTTAGGGTTCGGATGGCCTGTAACACCATTTGACGGTCTTGAGTCTCAGTAGGACAGTAAATATTTATAATCCTAAATTTTGCTCCTTTCCCTTCTATATCTACCAACAATAATCTACCATCTATAACCCTCTCAACCCTCTGAATGTGAAAAAGTTTGCTGTTGAAAAGGATTGCCACCCCAGAGGCTCTGTTGTTATTGTCGCCCGACCAAACTGACTGTCCATAGGGCCATCTGTTTTCAAAACGTTTATAATTGTCTTTGAAGGCTATAGAGCACTCCTGAAGGAGGAATATGTCCCCCCCTCCTTTACGCAAAAAACTGAAAACAGACTGGCACTTTACAGGGTCATTAAGGCCTCTAGTATTAATAGTGACAACCTTGAAAGTTGACATTATAATTTTGTGTGGTAGGGGAAAGCAGAGGGTCTACAGTTAAAATCACCTCATTGAAGGGGATTGTCTCTTTTTCTTTTTCTTCTTTTGGGTTCTAGAGTTCCACTCTGTTTCCTCTGTACCACTATTCATTTGGGTGGTAACAGAGAAAGCAGACAAGCTCTTAGGGTCTAGAAAGGGAGAAGAAATGGACAAGGGGTTGGGCCATACCTCTGGGTCCGGGCTAGTAAACGAAGAATTGCCTGATGTTTCCTGGGATCGTTTTCGGGATGATGTGCATGCAAGGGGAGTGTCAGAGAGTAGAGTTAAGGAAGGGAGCACCTCCGTGCCCCCACTTAAGACCTGGTTGGTTTCCAGAGAAGAAGTACCAGCTGCGCCACCAGGTGAAGGCAAGTCTCCGAGCATTAGGTCCAGGAGGTCTCTGCAGTCCCTGGATGAAACCGGAGGCCTCTCTATAGATGGTTGCTCCTGGTAACCAGGTGGGAGGACTCCTTGGGACTGCTGCGATTCCTGGGACTCCAGGGTTGGCTGGTCTAGTTGTCTGTGAGTGGCAGTCTCACCGGCTTGCTCCTTGTCGTTTGGTTTGGTAGGTAAGTGGGTGGAGTTGATAGTTGGCATTGACATATTGGCTGTCCAGTCCTCCTGGCTGTGTGGGTGTGATGTGTTGAACTCTGGTGTGATCGTGTGCTCTTTAGTCCAATCTCTCTGATTAAGTGCATCTCCTATGTGATCCTTATGCTCCTGCATGGGCGTGTCCTTCACAACAGGAGAGATTGCGCCTGGATGATCCTCCTTGTTCCTGCCGCTCACCTGCCCCAACATATGTTGATGTCCCCCTTCACTTAATGCCAGCTGGCGGTCATTAACTTCACCCTCATCTTTTTGTGTGGTCTGGTTTTGTGTGTCTGGCTGCCCTTCCAAACTATCTCGAGGGTCTTCTTGAAAATCAGGGATGAA